AAAATAAAATAGCTATAAGTTGAGAGGAAGTGGTAATGTTGACTTAATTTTTTTCTTCGGGAGCACTTGGGGAAAATGTGTGAAGTGATGTGTTATCACTAAGCTATCGCAGCAGTGATTTTATTGATTTATAGTTGGCTTGTTTCCAATGAAATATGTCTGATTAATCAAATTTGTTGTTTTCTAAGTATGAGAATTTTGCCACACAGTTATTACAGGGATTTTAGAAAATAAGGAAAAATACAAAGTAAAAGGTAAAAATTAGAATCGAGTTGGTATCATGGTTGTCAGTGAAAGTTGTCCTCAATCAGTAATTTAATGTATCATTCCACATGTGTTTATTGAACGCCCGGGACTTCTTTCTTTCACATCCCTTTGGGATCTGCACAGCTCCAGCGGTTGACTTGGGTGTTGCTATTGGTAGACAGGTCTTTGCATCTCTCTCTCTTTTGCTCAGAGTAGGAGCAGTGTCAAGTTCAGCTGGGCGTCTCCAGCATCCAGCACAGTTTACAGGACCATGAAGGCCAGTCATTGGCAGATGGTAGTTTGTAGCGAATGGGAGATAGAGGAATATCAAGGGCCTAAATTTGGCTTCTCCTTTTCCCACAAAGTTTGATTGAGTTGACTTACTCATTTCACCTTAATGAAATCCAAGGTTAAACGTGGCTACCAAAGTGGTGTCCTTTCTGTTCTGGCCACATGCATTATCTGGGAAATCTGAGGGATCAAGAGCCCCTTGTTAAAATATGAGTCTGTGCTTTCCTAGCAGAATTCTGGAAACCATGCTAATAGCACGACAAAATGAGAGAGTCCTAGGACTTTATACTCCTGTTATAACATGACTTGCTCTTACGTTTGTCTACATAAGACCAGGTACCTGAAACATAGCCAGCTCACCTGGGGATGTCTGACACACGAACTAAACCAGACTGGATTAGAAACATTAATTGGAAGCTGAGGTAGTTTCTACACTGGCAACCCATGAGCCTCATCCAGGCTGCAGAGGTGTTTTGCCTGGCCACACAGTGTGGAAAAAGAAGTTTTTTTGAGCCAATATGTAGAAATTGTGAGAGTTCACATAGGACCTGTGGGCCTGCTTCCTGTGTGGCAGCAGTTGGCTGGGACCCAGCGGCAGCTGTTTCCAGTCATCTTACCCTCCTTTTGCCGTTTCCCTGGCTCGCATGTGAATTTGAGTTTATCGCCCTGAATGTAGGGAGTGCCTTAGTGTTCAGGAAGTTTGCGGTAATCCGTTTATATGAACACTTGTGATCTCTCTCTGTCTGATAGTCTTAAAGGTGGCCAAATAGCTATGAAATTAAATAAACAAGCCCTGGTCCTTAATTAGAGAGCATTCCCTTCAGATGGATTTTGGAAACACTAATAGCATTAAAATGAGACTCTATCCTCAGCAAAGGGACCTTTCAGTAAGTAGATTGAAGCAATGACCGAGCATCTGTGATGCTGCAACGATAGAATTAATCACGGAGAGTGTTAATTACGTCCTGCAGAGGAAAGTAATTGTGCAACATACTTAATGCGGAATTACCAGGAAGGAAGGTGCCATTTAAAAAAATTCAGTTTTTGTGGCATTTTATCATGCATAACTCTGAATTCTAATAGACTCTTTATCATAAGATGATAATTTTCCCTCTAACTTAATGCATTAGGGAATGACTACACTGTAATCTCATTAATAGTTGACACTGAAATGACTTCTTGTTTCCTAGTTTTCCCACACATCCCGTGTCCAAAACTCAGAACGTGCAAAAACTTTTCTTCTTGAACCGTTAACTAAAAAACACAAAGCCATACTGTCCTTTTTCTCTAAATCCAACAAAACAACCTGTGGCCTGGTATCTGGAATACCCTGCTTTTCCTAGATCGTGTTCTAGAAGCTAATTTGTAAGTCACTTTTTTTGGGTAGGGGGCTAATTGATCGGTCAGAATACATTTCCCTCTCTAAACAAAGTTAGCTCTGGCTATGGGGAACCCCTGGTCCACCTGTAAGACAGCGAGTAACAGTTCCAAGCACACCCACTTTGACAAACCCTGTTTAGAGTATGTAGGCTGGGAGCCACTTTGGGAGACCAGCTGCTGGGATTTGAATCCCGGCTCCGACACCAACTGGGTGGCCTCGAGCAAGTCGCTTCAGGTGTCTGTGCCTCAGTTTGCAGGCTGTGGGGTAGGAATGATCACAGTGCTTACCCCCAGGGTGGTTGGGAAGATTAAAAGTGTAAAGATGTGTAAAGCATGTGAAATACTGCCAGGCACATAGTAAGTGCTGATTTTAAGCCATGATTACTATTAGCTGACGTTGGGACAGGCAAGAACGGGGCGAGTGCCAGGAAGAGAGGCAGTGTCAAGCGGTCCTGGGGTCTATTTCACTTGGGTTTTAAAATATTGAACTATCTCCCCAGCCTTTAAAAATTGTGAGATTTTAGATACCTGATTTCTTTGGAATAATTGGATTATCTGGCCGCTCTGAGTCCCTCTTTGATGCACGATTATGACCTCCGAGAGCTGAGTAAGCAGCTGCTGCCCTTTGCCACAGTCCCCACCACTCCTTACGACTTCCCCGACAATGAAGCCAAACACTGAGCCCAGACTGGTGCTATCCGGCTGGTGGTCTGTTTGGCTCTCACAGTCTTTGTGACCATTAGGCTATAAAAACCCATTGAGGCGGCCTCTCACCCAAGGAGATGGCAATGGGGGCAGCAGTAGGCAGATAAGAGTGGCAAAGACATCAGACTCCAGTTTCAACAGACAGGAAATGGTGGGAAAGTACAGTGCTGGCCACATGTGTGGGCCCTTGTGAGGAGAAGGCTGGCTGCCAGAGGAGTATGGCCAGAGGCCGTGGGTGAGGTCTGGATGCAGATGGCAGAGGTAGTGGGGATGCAGGAAAGGAGTGGAGTTCTTGGGCAGAAGCTCAGCCGAGAGAGGCTGCCACCCTATGTGGGATGCTGGGTGGGGCCCTGGGCTTTGGGCAGTCACACAGAGGCATGCAGACTGTGAGTCGGGTGTTTGATGGTGACCTGACTGCTGCAAACAAAGCCAGAGCCAAGCCTAGCTGACTGAAGGGCCTCACCTGGAGCCCGTAGGAGGAGGGGCTCAGGTGTCCTGAGGGACTGGGGCAGGTTGGGGTGCTGGGGAGCAAGGACTCAGCTGAGATGTCCACGTGGGCAGAGCTGAGGCTGGGTTTG